GCTGTCTAATTTGGCGAGTGTGGGGCTAAGGGAAGGGCGAGGCGAGGCGCGGATGGCGGATCAAGGAAAGGCGGGCGGGTTGGGCGGGTTGGGGCGGTTTTCTTGTCGCGCGGAGGAGACGCGTGGCGGCGGGGCGTTGGACGGCGCGGCGGGTGGGGCGCGCTGCCTTGGCGAGGGGTGCCGTGGCGACGGGTTTGGAGGAGACGCAGAGGGTACAAGTAATATATTCCTGGGGGCGTGCAGGGGTGCACAGTGGAGTGGGGCCTGGGTAGTGGGGCCGTTGTGATTCGAGGCGTGGTGCATTAATAGGCAAGTTGGCAAGGGTGCAGAAAAGGTATCCTGTACGCGTAGGTTGATGGGAAGCAGTGGGGCGTGGCAACTGGGGGACGATGGATGCATACATTCATGTCTGTGCAGTACAAGTTTGTACATCCCTGGCGAAGGTGGGGGTGCCGAGCACCGCCACCGTCGCCGAAATCCTTCCACACCGGAGTGTGTCTCGCCAGACGACAAGCGATTTGCCTCATACACTACCTGTATGAGGCATGGCCGGCCTCCTGCCAAAATATGTACATTAAATCCAATCTTTATGAAGTCAGTTTGTATGAAGGCAGTTTGGACACCCTTCGGTAATAGCATCTTGCAAAACATGTTGCAAAACATCGGGCTACCAGTTGTGAAGGAATACACACTACCCTTGGTACTATTACAAGTTTCAGTACACGGATGGCATTTTTTGAAATGCGATACGTTAAACACGCGTTTTGCTTTCGAACAATTGTTTTTCAGGCATTCTAAAAATGGCTGGAAACGACGTCCGCGTCGCACCAAACGCCATCCTTTTGCGACGCCCAACTCAACTGCGGTGCAGAGCGCCTCTTTTTCCTTGTTGTTGAGCAAGCACAAGTCGAGAAAAACAAAAAAAAAAACGTTGAAACGTAGCCTCATGTACATAGTATGTTGTACACACTAGAGCCACGCCCCTGGCACCAACGCCCACCGCACCGCTCACATTTAAATCGTGCTCCACGCCGTCCACGCCGTGGAGCACGGTTTAAATGTGAGCCCGGTGAGTCCACGCAGCTGCATAAAACCGAAAACAGCACGGCGGCCGCTTCCTACCGCTCCGTACCGCTCCGTACCGCTCCCCCCCTCTCTTTGGGTTGCTTCCCATAATGTGGTCCGAGCGCCAGACGTCCGTGCACGCTACACATTATAGGGCATGCCGCGCAGATCAACGACCTCGCACCGTTCAGCCCCCCCCCCCCCCCAAAACGGCCCCCAAAAAGAATAAATCTGAGGCGTTTGCAAAATACAAGTTGTATGAAAAGTTGGCTCAAACCCACACTGGTCGCAAAGTAAAGGTGCTTCGCACTGATCGAGGGGGAGAGTACTTGTCGACGGAATTCAAGTCGCATTTAGATTTAAACGGTACGCAGCACCAACTCACAACGGCGTACACCCCTGAACAAAACGGTGTTGCTGAACGTTTAAATCGAACTTTGATTGATCTTGTCCGCTCAATGCTTTCTCATAAACAGGTCAGTAAGCGATTCTGGGCCGAGGCTCTTGCCACTTCGGTATATGTACGTAATCGAGTTACTTCACGCGCTTTGCCCGTTAATACAACTCCGCCCCACATTTGGATGAATTCCACTCCCAATGTTGGGCCTTTGCGAGTATTTGGGTCAGAGTGTTGGTATACATTTACCCAA